CCTGGACCCGGTGGCTTAAACTCACCAGGTGCATGTACGTGCACGCCCAAGATCCCGAGAGGAAAATGGAAGAGAAGGGATTGCGGCGTGGCCATCCCCCCTGGGGGGTGATTTCTCGCATTCTATCTCTCTCCCTCTGTCTTTCTGGTGAGCGCACGCACCCTATACCAAAAACCTCTCCAAAATAATAATAATAATAATAATAATAATTCAGCCTATCAGTGACTCATTTAATTTCGAATTGCCTATGAGTTCTTGGCAATCATGATATGTATTTAGAAATCTTTGCTAAGTGAGAAAAATCTAACTTAAAAACTGTTTTCAAATGCAATGAAAGAGGATGAGCTCGTTTCAGGCGGATATGATGTTGTTTCTAAGACATTTGTCTAAATATTTATTAATTTCTATTTTTCATTTTTTTGTCTTTCATATTTTGGAGCCAAAAGATTTTAACTTCATCTCTCAAATATTCTCGTAGGGCCTGGGCATTCCACCTACAATGTCTAATGGATAAAATGACCCTGCGCACAAAACTCAAAAGTGAAAAACACCAGTGAAATTAAGTAGAAGGGTCAGTGTATATGGTTTCCCGATAATGTCGAGAATTCTTTTCCACCCTCTGCAGAATTCTTGTAGAACCAAAGAGCAAGCTCCATACTCAAAAGATATAGCATATGTGTTATCAATCAAGTATCTATTCGTACATTTGGTGAACAGTAAGAAATTGAATAGGGATGATGCAGTTAAAAATAAATTCTGAGAAAGGAAAGATAAGCAAGGTGAGAGGAACTCTTTTTTTTTTGGAGAAGTTTTTGCTATAGGGTATGTGTGCTCGCCAGCCAGACAGAAACAGACAGAAAGCGAGAAATCACCCCCCAGGGGGAATGGCCATGCCACAACCCCTTCTACTCTCAGGATTTTGGGCACGCACGCACATGCGCCCAGTGTGAGTTTAAGCCACCGGGTCCAGGACGCGAACCACGGTCAACTACATGGGAGTCCAGCGACATAGCCATTACGCTAACTGCTGGTCCCAGGAACTCATTTTTTTTAAGCCCCTGCTATAGTAAACCCTTGTGCCAGTTTCCTTCTATATATCATCCCCCTTCATTCTCATGAGAGCCCTGTGAGGTAGTTAAGGATTACTCTCATTTGCCAGTCAAGATACAACTGCTTAGAAAAGGTCAGTAACTTGCCAAGGGATAGATGGCTCTGAAGCGATGGAACTAGAAATCAGCCTAACCCTAAAACCATGCTCTTTTCACGAGATGCATGCTGGTTTCACGAAAGGGTGGGGATTACGTGGCTTTCTTTCTGTAAACCCTGATTTAATAAGGGATGAATGTTGGTGAGTGTGGAGGAGATGAAAGAGGGTGGGCAGAGGCTGGAGTTTCCCGGAGAGCAAAGTTGAAGTGATGGAAGGCAAAATTCACCGTCTTTTTTTTTTTCTTTTCTTCAGTGATTCATTAGTAGGAACAAAAAAAAAAAAAATGATAAAACTTCTGCAGCCCACAGTCTGTAGCAACCTCAAGGAAATTGTGAAGTATGGAAAGTCCCAAATTACAATCAGATTGGAACATCTCCAAGCTCCTTCACTCTCCCTTTACAGCATTTCTCAAAGAGTAGACCTTGACCTCCTCCCCAGAAGGGTGTGAAGAACTTGATAAAATGCACATTTCATGGGCCCAGCCTGGATCTAGTGAATGACTGTCTGGAAGGAAGGGCCTGGGTGGGAATCCCTGTTTTAACTCACCTTCTCTACCTCTCTGAATGACTCTATGTTCATTAAAATGTTCAAACCACACTTCAGTGGTTTAGAACAATATTCCGCTGCCTTATTTTCTTGTTCAATAGCTTTTAAGGACCGCAGTTTAAACTGCCAGGAATGTCTGGTTCTGAGTTTGCCACCATTTTATAGATGGAAAATTAAAAGAGAAAATGAGCAAAGAGAAAATAGAAAGGGAAAATGAGTGAATTGCTTCATAAAAGTGCTAAAATCAGAACTAAACAAAACCACATACCCCAAACCTAAAAAAAAACCCAAAACAATAAACAAACAGAAATCCAGCCTCATGCCCACTGCACTAGGTTTATTTCTTGGGGGCTTGGCTTACGTCATTAGTCTGAATTTCCACTGAGAAAATCCTGTAGTGAGGCAGAGGTTGGCAGAAGTTGTTGCTGTTACTTGAAAGGTTAAAGTTAATCTCTTAGCAGTTAGACATCTTGACTAGGGAAAAAAGGAGGGAAGGAGGAAAGGAGAGAAGGAAGGAAGGAAGGAAGGAAAGAAGGAAGGAAAAGGGAGGGGAGAAAGAGGAAGGGGAAAGAGAAGAGGAGGGAGAGAACAAAAAGGGAGGAGAGTAGGAGGGGAGAGAGAAAAGAGCAGGGGGGAGAAGGGAGGAAAAGAAGGAAGAGGCAGACTCACTTCCGTGGAGGTGTGAGCCAGTGGTCCAGGCATCAGTGGAGGGAACAGGCAGCCTAGGGACTCCTAGATGCTTTCAAGGAGAGGTCACAATATCAGTACTTGTCTTAACCTCTCCCCAGCTCTGACTGCACCCCTGCAGGGACTGGTGGAAGGCCCTTTTCAGAAGTTGGCTTCCTCCTATGGGATACACCTGCCTCTTGAAACACAAGATCTTATACTGAGTGTAGAATTAAAAGCAAAACAGAACATGGAGTTTGAGTGCCCGAGGGTCACCCCAGTCCCCCGCCACCCCCAGCTCCTTGACATCAATCCAAGCCAAGGTGAGCTAAGTCTTTGGCCTCTGAAAGGATAGAGAGACCACGAGAAAAACTGCAGTGCTATGAGAGCATGTCTGATTGGGAAGAGGTCCGAAGTTTTAGGCTTCTCAGACTTGGAACTGAAAAGGTTGAGTCTACGAAGGAAAACATGTCACTTTCCTGCCAAAATAAACTGTGATGAAAGTTTAGACCCCACCACCTCTCAGCCAAGCATTTCCTGTTCTGAGCGCCCTGTCGGCCTCCTGCTAGCTCAGATGAAGGAAAGCTATTTTTAAGGTGCAAACAACCAGGACTAAGAACGAGAGACGTTATTTATTTATAGTTACACCTCTCAACGACTCCTTTCCCTCTCTGGAGATAGAGGCCAGGTTTGGCTTTCTCTCTGCATCTGAAATCACTGGGGTAAGAACTCTGAAGAGTCAGGGTCAGCAGATTGCCTCTAGACCTATCTTGGTGTCCTGGGCAAGACAGGGTGGAGAGCCAGTCCCCATTTTATGAGGAATTTTCCTCCTGGCAACAGACACTCAGCTCATGCCACCCACAAGCTCTCGAGAAGTCTTTTGTAAAATACACTTTTTGTATAAAAGGTGATTTGAAAATACACACTTGGTTTTGTTATTTAAAGGAATCCAACAGTGAATCCTTTTTTTTTTTTTTAAGAAACAGAAGATTTTAGTACCATCCAAATAACTATTCCCTAATTTACATGGGCTTTTAATTCAGACTGTATTAGATTTACTTGAGGCAGGGTACATCTGCATTTAGTGTTCTGAGTCAACAAGCTCTTTCTGGTATCTAACTGTAGCTTTCTTCTTATAATTTAGAGATTTTTGTTCTTATGTTAAATTACCCCATTCTTTCTTTTTTTTTAAAGAGGTTTTTTTTTTTTTTTTTTTTTTTTTTTTTTTTTTTCTGTAGAGTGCATGAGCTCATTGGCGAGACAGAGAGAGACAGAAAGCGAGAAATCACCCCCTGGGGGGATGGCCACACCACAATCCCTTCTCTTCCGTTCTCCTCCTGGGATTTTGGGCATGCATGCACACATGCTTGGTGTGGGTTTCAAGTCACTAGGTCTAGGACTTGACCTGCAGTTGGCCATGTGGGAGTCCAGCAACATAACCATTACGCCATCTACTAGTCTCTAAATTAGCCCATTCTTAATAACAAACCTCAAAGGACCTGTTGGACTTTTCTAGTATTGGGTCGTCAGGAAAGTCATGACACATTTTTGCATAGAGAAACATAGAAAAAGAAGTCACGACTTTCTCAACAACCTAATAAGCAAAAGAGAAAGTCTCTTCTTTGTGATGCTCATGGAAGCATCATCTTGGTTTTGATGATTACCCCCATAGTTGACTGACAATGTTATCTTCTCAGCACATATCCATACATAACATTTCCATGTTTACTTCCGTCTCCCACCCTACAATATAAGCTTCAAGAGGACTTCTTCACTCTTCAGTTCATCACTGTCACAGCATCAAAAATACATTGATTAGATGCTCAACATTTATTATTAAATTAACACATGGCTATCTCAAATTGCTGTGGTATTTGGAATTATACAGGGTGTTGGAGAGCTCTCCACCCTTTACATTTTTTTCATGCTTGATGCCTTCCTAAAGATCCACATCGTACTATTTTAACTTTGTGCCTCAGGCATTATGATAGGAATTACTTGAAGGATTGGAGATGGCTTCTTTCCAAATTCACTAATATCTATGTTTTTAAAAATGAGTCAAACTTTAAGCTGACAGCTCTACAGAATGAGTTGGTGGTTATAGCATACTCCCAGCTTCCTGCTGGTGGGTTCTTTCTCCAGCCATGCCAACTGGGTCACAATTCAACTTTTGGCCCAGGGAGGATCCTTGTTGCATCATTATACTTGTACAAGACTCAGTGCTTTATTCCACTCTAGGAAGAACTAAAAAAGACTGGATGCTATTTGAATACAGAATCTAGGTCTAGGTGCAGATCTATTAAAAAGGTGGAGAGAAACAATATTATGACCTAGTATGACCCAGCATGACCTGGGAACGTACAATGACTGTGGAGCAATAGTACTGGGCACATGGTAGTTCAAGAAAGTATTGCTGTCTAGCAAATGGCAAATTCAGGCAAAAATGGACCTGGTGCTAGGGTATTTGGTATATTCACTTCTTTTCAGTTTCAAGTTATCGTTTTGAGAGCACTCCCTTTGCTACAAATACAATGGAACAAAAAATAAGCAGGGATGAAAATCCTGTTAGTCACTTACTCACCTTTTGACTTAAGTGGGGACCATTGGTTCCACCAATGCTTCTCTGTCCTGAGGGTGGCACTTGGTACACATCTTGTTCTTGGGTTCCATAGCCAGTGGGTACTTGGTAAATTCCATGATTTTGGTAGGAAGGTGGAACTTGGTAGATGGTATCACGAGGAGTGGCCTGTGGGTTTGACACTTGATGAAGCTTCTGTTGGCCAAAAGTCTGAGGCATCAGTCCAGAAGTAGGCTGGTCATGACTGGAGGAGGTCTCCTGCACAGGACCAATCAGAAGCTTCACCCGGTTTCCCGGGACAATGCCTTGTCGACCGTGTAAGGAGCACAGCCACCATCCTTCCAGCCCTCCTGTGTTCTGCTCTATGACGGTCAGGATGTCTCCTTTGCGAAAGGCCAGTTCCTCTGCACACTCTGGGACATTGTCATAGAGGGCCCTTGCCATCAGATTCTAGGAAGGAAGGAAGAGGGGGAAATCACGTTAGAATATCAGTGCAGTCTCTTTAATACCTAAAGTCCATGCTCTTACGGAGAGGCCCAGTTCCTGAACAATGGCCTATAAGGAGAAAAACAGATGGTGCAGACAAAAGACAGATACATCCATGCCGTGTCTGCCACCACTGACATCAGACTGCCTCTTCAGAAAAGCCTGGAACACCAGAACCGCCTTCACTCTAGCAGTAGAGGCTCTGCCAAGGAATTATGAGTAGCGCTGTGAAAAAGTTACAGAATGGTTGGCTGCACAAATCATTTCTCTCTCTTTTTTGAAGCTCAGCTTAGGATGGAAAAATATCCCAAGCTATTCATATCTACTACAGCAGACATTTCCCAATCGTTTCATGTATCAGAAGAAAAAAAAGAGTCAAAGACCATCCCAATGAACACATACTACAAATGGTATTTAGATTCAGTGTCAACATGTAAACAAAAGCACACTTGTATATGTGTTGGCAGGGCTTAAAAATCTTATTTTGGGATGGTCAAGATGTTCTTGGATACAGGGACAGTCTGTGAGTGCAGTATAAAGATGTGACAATGAAGCATGGGACGAAGTGGGACAGTAGTGTACATCTCCAGGTTTGCTGGCCGGGAGCTATAAGGAATTTATTAACACATAGGTTGATGCCAACTCCCTCTTTTAGTCTTTTACTCATACCTTTCCTGAGGGGCCCTCTCCACTCTGCCACATTATCACCTACTTCTTGAATCTCGCCATTCACATCTGAAAGGCTGAGCCTTCCCCTTTCATGGGCCCAAAACACTCTCTTTGTAAGAAGGCCTGTCTGGCACATCGAGTCCTAAGCAGACAGCCAAAGTAGGCATTCAGCTGAGAGCGGGCAGGCGTACGTGCTGACATTCTTGGAAGCCTTTCAAAGACTCTGCAGATTTCATTTCTTGGCGTTAGTAATTTTTCCCAGCACGCTGGCGGCCATTACCGCATGCCTGTCCCCTTCCCAGAACACAGGGAAGCTGGGGAACGTTGTAAATTCAACTCAAGCATTTGGAAAATAAAACTGATCCCGTGAGTGCTTCGTTAAAATGTTTGGATGCACTTAATGTCATGGTGGTGGGGATCATTTAAGGGAGAAAGGATTGCTGACTGGAGGGAGGTTGTTCGTGATTTTACTTCATGCCATGATGCATTCACAGCATTTTTGGCTTGTATTACCTGAACTGTTCCTGTTTTCTTCTGTAGAAATGTGGATTTGGTCTTTCAGCCTTATGCTTTTTATTTCTTCAAAATGGACATACATTAATGGTCTCCCCTGTACAACACTCTTTTATCACAGGTCTTGAATGGCATGCTGGTCTCTGCTATGAGTGGCTGTGCTATGCAAGGCATCTACCCTCTCCCTCTGCTCAGTAGCTAGGAAGAAATCCGATTCTATCACTATTAGCCAAGCTCCTCTTACTCAGTGCAGCTAGTTAACTTAAGGAGATAAAGGCATGGAGGTCAGTACCCAAGACGCTATGTGATGCTCTTCAAGAAAAAGCTTGAAAATCCTTGTGAGTTCTGACATCCACGAATTCTGGGACACAGACAGGTGAAGGGGGCAAGGAAAGCTAAAGGGAAGTTAAGAAGTTTGTGTTTCACACGAAGGTTTTACTGAGTAGTTATATTCCAGGAAGCTTTGGTTCCTTCTCATAATTAAAATTCACAAACATAAAGATAAAATCAGAGGCTGGGCGGGCTTTGGAGTGCAGAGGTTAAGGCTGTACAAAAGAAGTCGGATCCCACATCACCAATCAGGGATCAAGTCCCAGCCCCAGGGACTTGCAAAACACACTTTGAGCATGCACCAGGATCCTGATGGGATAGAGAATTGGAGGGAAAAGGATTGTGGCATGACCAGGTCCCATTGGGGAGTAATTTCTACCCCTTTCTCTCCCCCCACCCCTTCTCTTTCATGAGCACATGCCTCTGGCATTTTTAAAAAAAGATAAAATCAGGTAGAATTCCACCCTGCTTTGTGGAACCATTTAAGGATGTGTCATAATCCTAAAATCTTCTTGGTGTCTCTTTTTCCATCTTTTTGGGTATTCTGTAATTTGGAAGAAAAGTCACAGTGCCCCAGAGGATGAGATTCCAGTCCTTTGTACTGAAATGATCTGGAGGAAATGATATCACCGTGTTGTATTGTGATTATAGAGTGGGGAGAGAGCTGACTGCTCTTGTCTCTGTCCCCTTCTCCTGGGCCCTTTCAACAACTGGGAATGGCTGGTAAGGAAATCCTTGGATGAATTCAGAAATGATGGTATCGGGGCCACTTCTATGGGAGCAAAGGGTTGATAGCTGGTCAATTATACTGCCTACAAGGAAGGGAAAGAAGAAAAACAGAAAACAGTAGAAAGGAAATGGGCTAAAGACCTAATCGGCATACATCAGCTTGAGGCATTGGGAGTTGGGTCACTTCCAACTCTGAGGAACACCATGAAGCTCTGAAGTGAAGCGCCGGACCATGCTTGATTAGAGGCAGAAAGAAATACCCATGGAGAGTCCTGTGGATAATCTTTGTCTCCTGTCCCAGAAACCTTCCCCCGCCACCTGGGCAGCAACTCAGTAATGTTTCCACACATGCTGCAAGGGCTGCTTCTGCAGGAAACATTCAGAGCCCCGTAGTCTGTGTTAATGTGGACACCGCAGCTGGGTTCTCCAATGGTTTTCCATGGTGCCCCAATGGTCTTCCCCACTACCCACAGATTTTAGGATTTGGAAAGTGGCAGGGACTCCAGCACCAACCTGACACCTATTTACACATTGATATATAGGCTTGGCCTTGACCAAACAGGAGTGTGACCGGCAAGTTACAGAGAGCCAATGTCTACACCCATTCACTCTCCTGAACAGAAGGTTGTAGCTAAATACCTTTAGAGATCTCCTGGACTCAGTGTCTCTGTTTTTCAGATGAGGAGACAGGTCTAGAGGAGGCCAGTTTATCATTTGTTCAAAGCTACACTATCGGTGTCAGAGAGGAAAATGGAACTCTGGAGTCTCTTAGTTCAACTCTCTTTCCAGGATTCTAAGCTACCTGCGCTCTACGACATGTGCCTTCTAACTGGACACAGTTCCATTCTACAAAGGGACTTCAAAAGCTTGTGGGAAAATGGAATTAAAGTAAGAGTTTATTGTAATGCCAAAATTTTGAAATCCATGCATAGCTTCTTGATAATACACACTTTCCTCGAACTTTTTGAAAATCCCTTGGATAAGAAAGTTCTGAAGATAATCTATCCTTCTTTTTATGTCTACGAAGTAAAATTCTTGGGGTTTAGGGTCCTACCTGTGTGACTGGGCGGATGGCTTCACCCCTTAGCTTCCTCGTCTATACAGTGAGAAGAGGGATCATAGGACATATCACATGGGCTTACAGTGAGGATTTCATCAGTTAATTCAAGAGAAATATTTTAACAGTGCCTGAGACAATAAGCTATTATGACTTTCATTTTATTTATTGATTGCTTGCTTGCTAGAGGGTGCATGGGCACACCAAGAGACAGAGAGACAGAGTGGAGGTGAAAGCACTCCCCCTGGGAAGAGGTCATGCTATATCCCTTCTTCTCTGTCACTATCCTTTTGAGATTTGGGGCACACACATACACCTGGCTTAATTCTCAAGTTGTCAGATCAGGCATTCCAACTGCACAGTTGGCCATGTGGGATTGTACTGCCTGAACCAGGCCAGGAAACCAACCTGACTTGTCTTTTCATTTGCTGGAGAGCATTCATCTTGAGGCTCCCTGACCCTCTCTGCTTCCACTCAATTCTCAATCCAGGATTAGTCCTTTCCTAATGATGTTATTATGTTTATATTTATACATATGGGGCAGAAGAGTTTTACCTCAAAGCAACATTTCTCTGGATTAATAATGAGTTTGGGGCTGGCCCCATAGCCCAGTGGTTAAGGTGAGCCAGATCTCACATGGCTGACCATGGTTTGAGTCCCACCTCTGATGGCTTGAAAAGTCATGCTGGGAATGTGTAAGTGCGTGTGTGCTCAAAATCCTGATGGGATGGAGAAATGAGTAAGAAGGGATTCCAATATGACCATGCCCCATTGGGGGGTGTTTCCCCCCTTTTCCTCTCTGTTTCTCTCTGGCAAGTGCACATACCCTCTCGTGATTAAAAAAATAATAATGAGTTCTGGCAACCTCTTATTGAGTATTTACCTATAAATAGCAATGATGAAATGATTGGTTGTATTCAGGAGAACTTTTTGGGCAAAATAATAATAACAATGGACAAGTTATAAATAAATCCAGCAAATTTCAGAAGCAGGAATACAATACATTAGAAAGTAGAAAAAGAAAGATAAGATGTGTGGCTTTTGAAAATACTTAGTACTGGGGTAAGAGTTCAGTAAGAAGGTAACAGCCAAGTTAATTTTATCTGAAAACAAACCATCACCTTCAAAAATGCACATCATTCATAAGTAGGCAAGTTACAGATTATGTCTTCTGGCAAGGAGAAGGTGGAAGGACCCTCTCCTGCAGTACAAAGGTGTGATTCCTTGAGGCCACAAAATCAGAAGCTGTTATCTGAATATCTTAAACCTGAGAGGCAGTTCATTTATATACAATCTACTCTTTCTCCCCCACCACCTTATTGAATATTTATCTCCAGGGTAGGGACCTCAACACAGAAACAAATCAAGGGAAGATAAGAGCTGTGTAATTCTATATCCTGTTGGATGGTTAGCCTGTGAAGATCGGCAGTTAAGAATGCAGTTAGAACTTGGCAAAGCACCAGGGCTGTTGGGGCACACAGAACTTGAAAGCATTTCACACAATTATGGTCCAATTCTTTCACTTCACAAATGAGAAAAATGAAGCTCAAGAAATTAATGACTTGCCAAGTCACCTGGCAAGATGGTCTTAGGGCTGGGACAAGAATTCGAGCCTCCTGTCTCTAAGTCCAGAATTTATAACTAGTTTTTAGTAAAGTCAAATATG